TCATTTTAAGAAAATAAGTATATATTTGATTCAGAAGAAAGCAAGAATCAAGGAACTGAGGAACAAAATACATAAGACATGTAGAAAGCAAATAGCAAATAACAGATTTGAATCCTACATTTTGAGTAATTGCATTAAATTTAAATATGTTAAAAAATCAAAAAGCAGAGATTGACAGAATGAATGAAAAAAACAAGGTACAACAATATGGTATTTTACAAGAAACATAATTTATATTCAAAGACACAAGTGGACTGAAAATAAAATGATGGAAAATGATTTATCATGTAGATGTCATCAAGGAGAGGTGGAGTAACTCTACTAACAGACTAAATTAAATATAAGAAAACATTTTACTGAAGACAGGGGGGACATTTAATAATGAAAATAGTGTCAAGCCATCAGGAAGATACGATGATTATACACATCTTTTCAAATAACAACAGAGTCCCAAAATATGTGAAGAAAAAAATAGAACTGAATGGAGAAGTAGACAATTCATCAATAATAGAGATTTTAAATCATACTTTCAATAAAATGGAGAATACCTAAGGAGAAGAAAAACAAAAAGGAGAAGGCCTGAACAGTAGATAAACCAGTTAAACAGACATCTACAGAATATTCCACATAGCAGTAGAAAAATCCAATTTTTTTCTTAAGTGCACATCGAACATTATCCTGAATGGATCACAAGCCATGCCATAATACAATCCTCAACAAATTTAAAAGGATTGGAAGCATAAAAAGTATCATGTCAAACACAATTTAATTTAATTTAATTAGAAATAAATAGAAATTGATAAATATCTGGAAAATAAATAATAACAGTGCTAAAAGTCCTATGGGTTAAAGAAAATAAAAACGGTAGTTAGAAAATACTTTTAAATGAATGAAAAGGAAAATACAGCATATCAAGATTTATAAGATAAAATTGTTAGCAGTTGTCAGAGAAAAATATATACAGATATAAATGCCTGTGTTAAGAAAAGGGGGACATTTAATAATGAAAATAGTGTCAAGCCATCAGGAAGATACAATGATTACACACATCTTTTCAAATAACAACACAGAGTCCCAAAATATGTGAAGAAAAAAACTTTAAAGACTAGGAAAAGAACAAACTAAATCTAAAACAAGCATAAGGAAAGAAATAATAAATAATAGAGATGAAAACTGAAGTAGGGAATATAAAACAGTAACACCAATGAAACCAAAAGTTGGTTCTTTGAAAAGATCATCAAAATAGACTTTTACCTACAATAAATAAGATGAAAACAGTAAATTCATTTTAATAACATCATGAATAAAAGAAGAGGCATCGGGAGCCAAGATGGAGGCATAAGCAGAGCAGCAGAAATTTCCTCCCAAAACCATATATATTTTTGAAAATTCAACAAATACAACTATCCCTAAAAAAGAGACAAGAAGACACAGAACAACAGCCAGGCTACATCTACACCTGTGAGAACCCAGCGCCTTGCAAAGGGGATAAAATACAAGCTGCATCCCGGCGGGACCCGAGCGCCCTTCACCCCAGCTCCCAGCAGGAGGAAAGGAGTCAGAGTGGGGAGGGAGAGGGAGCCCAGGACTGCTGAACACCCAGCCCTAGTCATCCACACCGGAGTGCAGACACACAGTGCATGAGGAGCTGGGAACTAGGGAAACGGGACAGTAAAACCTGCGAGCAGGTCCCCGCAGCTGGCGCCCCTGGCACAAAGAAAAATGAGTGCTTTTTGAAAGACTTAAAGGGACAGGGATCCCACAGCTGGACAGAAGCATCCCGGGACATTCAGCCTAGCAGCTGGGAATCCCGGGGAACTCCAGGCACCCTAACCTCCTGGGTGGCAGCACAGCTTAGAGGCCCCTCACGGAGATAAACAGCCTCCCACCTGTCACCCCTCTGACGCGACTCCGCCATATCGGAAAAGCAGCCCAAGGCAGACCACACCCACAGCAACTGCGGAGCTATATGTGGAGTAACAGAATGGATAAAAAAGCAAGACCCATCTATATGCTCCTTACTAAAGACCCACCTCAAACCCAAAGACATGCACAAACTAAAATTCAAGGGATGGAAAAAGGTATTCCATGGAAACAACAGGAAGAAAAAAGCAGGTATTGCAGTACTAGTATCAGACAAAATAGACTTCAAAATAAAGTAACAAAAGACAAAGAAGGACATTACATAATGATAAAGGGCTCAGTCCAACAAGAGGATATAACCATTATAAATATATATGCACCCAATACAGGAGCACAAACATATGTGAAACAAATACTAACAGAATTAAAGGAGGAAATAGAATGCAATGCATTCATTCTGGGAGACTTCAACACACCACTCACCCAAAGGATAGATCTACTGCACAGAAAATAAGTAAGGACATGGAGGCACTGAACAACATACTAGAACAGATGGACCTAATAGACATCTAC